GGGGGGGGGGATAGTGGAAATAGCAGAAAACCTAAAACAGGTATGCTGAGGTGAAAACAATTCTTCCTTTTCTAAGTCACTTAATTTCATTAGAAAGTCAGTATCATTAAAAATAATTTTAAAAATATCTCTCAGTATTATACTATTTTGAATTAAATTAATCTGTACCTTCCAAACTATACATGACTGCTTATTACCTTCAAGGTAAAATAAGAATTGATTTTTCTGAAAGCTTTCCTTTCCAACATCAAATTCATGTCTCCCTGGATCTTCACGGTGCTCCCTCACTAGGAACCTTGTGAGAGGGCACTAGCCTCAGCTCACGAAGTCAGAAGGACTCTTCCTCTTTATAAAGTCAAACTCCCTGCGCACTCCGAGGGACCCCTGGGGGTTTTGAGACTGCAGCTGTTGCCCGGAGGAGAAAGCCCAGTCTTTCTCTCAGAGCTGCTGGTAGTTTCAAACCGCTGACCATGTAACCACTTCACCTCCAGGGTTCTTCTTCTTCATTATAGAATAATTTATTCACTTAGTTCAGTTCAGGGGAAAGTTCCTTCAATCTAAGAGATTTGATGAAGGAATTAAGCATATTTTTAAAAGCAACAGCAGCAGCAGCGAAAAGAGCCATACTCAATAATAAATTAGAACAATGTAGCCTGCTTTATTGGTCATTTAAATGTACACTTTCATTTTGTTTATAATTTTGCTGAGGAACTTCCAAATCCCCTAGACCCGGGGTTCCCACAGGTCTTCCCCGCATCATGTCCAGCCTGGGGTGCCTGCTGCTCCTTGAAGACTCCGTCTCCCTCCCTTGGAGAGAGACAGCCCCGGGGTCTTCTGTCATTCCCATACTTTTTGTACATCCTTCTACAAAAAATCAAAACAAAAACCCACATTGGAAGGGGGAAGTGAGCAGGTGAAGCACAGGGCATTTTCAGGGCAGTGAAGCTAGTCTGTGAGGTACTGGCATGTTGCACATGTGACATCATGCATCTGACTGGCTGACACGGAGTGCACGCCGATATCAAGGACGGCCTTCAGTGACCCAATGTACCGACGTTGGCCGTCAGTTGTAACAGAGGTACCAAGATGTTAATGACAGGAGAAGCCGGATGCAGGAGTATGGAGGCACACCAAACTTTCTAGACTTCATGTCAACCTAAAATCGCTAAGTACATGAAAATACACACTCACATAATTGTCCACACAACTTAAGGATGAGACCCGGGAGAGCTGAGAGTTGCACTCTGCTCACACACCCAGCAAAGTGCCTGGTAGGTGGGTAGGTATTCAGCAAATATTGCTGGCTTGAACTGAAGTCTAAGACTTCGAGACTTTTTTTTAATCATAAATAATTCTTATAATTGCTTACACTCATCAATAGTTATAAAGTATTCTGGCATAATTAAAAATTGTGGACTAAATGTGCCAAATTCTCCGTATCAATCGATCACGCCTTCTGCTAGGGGTTGTAGCATGGGGATCTTCTTTTCATTGCCCCTTTCATTCTCCTTCCAACTTA